CAATATTAGGAATTATAAACTAGTCTATAGTTGGAACTATAGACCAGTTTACAGTTGGAACTATAGACCAGTATATAGTCCGAACTATAGGCGGAACTATTGAAAAATCAATAGTAGGAAGTAGTTCCAACTATAGACCAGTTTATAGTTGGAACTATAGACCAATCTATAGTCGGTACTTTAGACTAGACTATATATAGAGCAGTCTATAGTCGTAACTATAGACCAGACTATAGACCAGTTTATAGTCGGAACTAAAGACCAGTCTCCAGTAGGAACTATTGACCAGTTTATATTCCGAACTAGAGACCAGTCTATAGTCGTAACTATAGACCACTCTATAGTTGGAACTGTGTACCTTTGTAAACGTAGTCTAAACTATAGACCAGTTTATAGTCGGAACTAAAGGCCAGTGTATGTATGCAACTATGTACCTGTGTATACTTAGTCTTAACTATAGACCAGTGTATAGTCTGAGTTATAGACCAGTCCATAGTCAGAACTTTAGACGAGTCTATAGTCTGAACTGTAGACCAGTACATAGTCGGTCTATAGTCGTAACTATAGTCCAGTCTATAGTTGGAACTTTATACCTGTGTATACTTAGTCTAAACTATAGACCAGTTTGTAGTATGAACTATAGGCCTGTGTATAGTCTGAACTATAGACCAGTCCACAGTTTGAACTGTATACGAGTCTATAGTCTGAGTTGTAGACGAGTCTAGAGTCTGAACCGTAGACCAGTCTAGAGTCTGATGAATAGACCAGTGTACTGTTCAAACTATAGACCAGTCTATATTCCGAACTATAGACAAGTCTATATCCTGAACTATAGACTTGTCTATACTCTGAAATATAGAACAGTCTATATTCTGAACTATAGACCAGTCTAAACTGTGGTCTAAACTATAGACTTAACTATAATCTAAACTATAGTCTAAGCTATAGGCTGAACTATATACCTTAGTATATTCCTAAATATACACCAGTCTGTAGTATAAATTATAGACTGTAGTCAGGATTGTAGACCAGTTTACTATACAGAGAAGTTTGGACTATATATTAGTCTACAATCTGGTCACTCTTGTTTTCAAAAGCGAAGTATCAAACCTTCTAAAATTTTAAGTTTTACTCTATAAAATGTTAAAAACTAATACAGTCACACACTTCTGTATGACATATTTCTAATTTGGATGAGTAGTTATGAAAGGCACATGATTATTAATATTACTAACAGGTTATAGTAATTTCGCAGGAGACAACAGAAACGTGTTGAAATAAAGAATAAATGAGTACATTAAACGTAATTTTGTCTGATAAAACTATATACACGTTTTATAATTTAACACGTTTTTATTAACATTTTCCAAAGACCATTTGCGTTCAAATTTAAAGGGCTAATAAGTTGTTTGTCTTTTTTAATAACATCCCACTGTGCAAAATAAAGTATTATATTTTTCAATGACTTGATAACCTATAAAGGCATAATTTGTTTAAATAATCTTTGATTTAACAATTTAAAGATTTTTAAGGTTAAACCTTATAGTGGGTAGAACCAAACATTTTATAATGTTATTATTGTTGTTGTTGTCTTTAGCTATAAAAAGACCTAAAAGATGTTATTAACAGTTTGTGGGGTTTTTGTTGTTTTAAGTGACAAAATTTTCATTGATTTAAAATTTATTATCAGTAATCAAACATTCTAAAAGTCATAAGTCAATTACAAATACAGAGCATTGCACCGAAAGATTTGCCAATATAATTTTAAATTCTATATTATTTAAAACAAAAAAGTCATTGATTTTAGGTTCGTAAGCAATTTGTTAAAATACATTGTTATATTTTCTAAGCGCCAAAAAAAAAAAATAACGAATTTCTATAAGAAATAATTTTCTAATAAACTTGATAAAATTAAAATTAATTTGAAAATAATTGCGCATTTGTTGAACGAACAAGTGAAATAGTGTTAGATAAAAATAAAATTGGGTTAAAAACGTGTCTAATTTTTAGCAGCAACAAAAAACACAGAGCACCAAAAAAAAAAAACCAACAAAAATTAACTAAATCAAAAAATCATTTAAAATTTACTAAAGAATTTTAGTAATTTTATTCGTTGCATTTCATTTCGTTTAGTTTAATTTTATGCAAAGACACGCATAAATTGTGTCTTGTGGCCGGCCAATTGAGCGGCACCAAGAATGATGCAATTCTTATAAAAACTGAAAGCATACAACTTGCACTACTATATCCGATCATTTACTGTAAGACTGATATAACTCAAAACTGATTTTTTCGAAACAAGCGGCTTTTATGAATATTTTACTCCCGTTATGGGGTGGGATTTGTGCTGATGTTTATAACGCACAAAAAAATTGGACCTTCAGCCATCTTAAACAATCGCTTTCAGAGTCGGTTAAGTCATGTCCGGCAGGCGGTCCATGTGAACTTTGTTTTAAATTACTTTTAAACAACTTATGAAAAGTACAACCAGCTTTAGATAGAAACGGTGACCATTTTCCATATTTTTGTTAAAATATGGATTCCGTGACAAAAGAACTGCTTATCATGAGGCCAAGAATGAATCAAGATAATATCGGATGCCCTATTCTGATGTGAAGCTTAGCCCATAGAGAACGTTTTGCTTCGATCGAAACAAGTCGGACGGGGAAAGGCCTGGACTATAAGACGAGTCCAGACCTGAAGTGAAGCTTAACCCAGAGAGAGCATTTTGCATCGATCGAATATATAGTATTCGGACGGACGAGTGAGGCACAACTTCCCAAACACTTCTTACTAAATAGCTTTTAAGAACATAATTGAATACTATACGCTTTCGCTGTCGGGACGTAAATTCTGGGCATTTTATCGGCCAATGCAATCGGTATAGGTTCCTCGTAAAGGCCTAGTTGCATTTTCGCAGCTTATAATTGAAAGAACCCTTTTGATTCCACCAAATGTAGAGCATTGCCTTAACACCTTAGCACTACTTAGCTTTGAGGACGATTCATTCGGTTATTTGGGCTTCATATACGACCTCTTACTCTTCTAGTTATCGAATGTGCAGACAGCATTTCAAGGTCTTTGGTTTTCAATGAATCTTGGATGAATCCTCCTGCTCGCAAACTATAGCTCCTTCTGCTTACCAGTCTATGGTCGGAACTTTAGATCAGTCTATGATTGGTACTTTAGACCAGTCTATAATCGAACTATAGTGCAGTCTATAGTCTGAAATATAGACCAGTTTAGAGTCAGAACTGTAGACTAGTCTTTAGTCGGAACTATAGACCAGTCTTTACTTGGAACTATAGACGGAACTATAGATCAGTTTATAGTCGGAACTATATACCAGTGTATACCTAGTCTAAACTATAGGCCAGTTTATAGTCGGAACTATAGACTCGTCTATTGTCGTAACTATAGACCAGGGCCCAAATTACGGCATACGATATCGATCGAAATCTCAATAGAATATAAATGGATATTTCGATCGATATCGTATGCCATAATTTGGGCCCAGTCTATAGTTGGAACTATATATCTGTATATACAGTCCTATAGCTTGATCTCTAGACAAGTGTTCTGTTTAAACTATAGATCATAACTATAGATATTCTGAACTATTGATATTCTAGTCTAGTCTATAGTCTGAACTGTGGTCTAAACTATAGTATTAACTATAGGCTAAGCTATAATCTAAACTATAGTCTAAAATATAAGCTGAACTATAGACCTTACTATAGTCCGAACTATACACCAGTCTGTAGTGTAATTATAGACCGTAGTCTATAATTGCAGACCATATTACTATATAGAGAAATTTGGACTCCTGCTGCTTATGTGGCTCTCAATGATTTTCCAAGTTCTTGTTGAGTTTGACAACAATCGAGTTAAGCCTCTAACTCCTGGTCTTCAAACTTTTTTTTCTGACCTGCACGTTCTTTGTATTCCGTCTTAAAGTCGTCACTTCTGTATCGTTTCTTGAGTAGTTTCTAATGATTTTTTTAAGCTTTTTTGAGTTTGATCTGAATCGAACAAACGAATTCTCTTACTTTGAAACCGGGAGGAAAGTTTAGGTTTAGAGTTTATAAAACCAAATAGCTGATACATAGTATGTCCTCAGTATTAAGATTGTAGCGGGAGGAAACATTAGTGAAGAAAACTCTACAGAGTTTAATGTTTTGTAGTCACTAAATCTTTAGTTATTACAGTCTTGTAGTAAATCAGGGATATGTTGGTTTTAGATTGATTTTTTGTTGCCATTAGTATTAAATTAAAAATTTGTTGTTATTATTAATACCCAGCAAAAACTATTTGTCCTTATTGTTAATAGTAATTATAGCACATATTACTTGGTAATGGTTAGGTCATTAACCATTGGAGAAGAAGTAATAATAAGTTTAGAGTTTAGTAATTCAACAAGAGTATAAACTCTAAACTGAGGTCCAGAAATGTAATAAGTGTGCCTAATATAAAACTCTATTTTAGTAATCGAATAACCTTGAATTTCTCACCTACAAGATAAAACAGTTAAAATTTTTCTACAAAGTAATCTAACATTCTATTACATATAAATAAAGTTTTTGCTGGGTAATGATTGCCGTTATGTTTAGTACTCTTAAACTAATTAAAACGCTCTCTTAATTTAGAGACATTATAAGGAGAGTATTTAAGTATAACTGTATTATTAATATTACGCTCTTTTTTCTTATTTATAACTGTAATTCCTTTTTCTTAAATGAAAGAGCATATAAGAGTATTACACTTTATATGTGTATGAGTGTCTATATTCTATACAAGTTCTTTACACATCTAAGCGAAATTACACGATCTATAACGATCGTTTTAGCTTCTCTCTTTATTTATTTTTTTTTTTTTCAAACGTAATTTTCATTGATACGATTTTATTTTTTTTGCTACCACTTAAAAATCCATATAAATTCTTCACAAATAAATTGTTTAAACAATTTTCGTAGCAATTCATTCATATACAAGTGTCAGAGCCGGTCGGAGTGTTTTTACCCCTAAAAAAAGTGAAAAAAATTAAATTAAAAAAAAAACAGAAATTTTGACGTCGTTATAAATTGAAATTTGAAATCATTTCGTCATTTACTTATTTTCCGTTTAATTCAAACGTGTGGCGCTAAGTAATAAAAAGTTTATTACACACAGTTTATTGTACAAAATATTATTATAATTAATAATAAAAATTAATAAAAAAAAACACACACATTGCAAACATAAAAAAGTGGTAATAAAACAAATATACGTGTTTTTATTACAATTTAATTAATACGCGTGTGAGTGATATTGAAGAAAAACTTTTATTTAGAAAAAAAAAATAATTTAATTTGCGCTTAATATATGACTCTGCTGGCGTCAATTAAAATAAAAACATTTAATTTTTATTTATTAAAAAAAATATTTAAATACGCTGTTCTTATAAATGGTAAATAAGTTTGTGAATATATTATAAATTTATTTAATTAAAAAAATAAACAAAAAGCTATAATAAGTGAAAAAAATTTGAGAAAAATTAAGGACATTTTAAACAAGAAATCCTGTTTATAATAATTTATAAGTGTTTTTTTAAAAAAACATGTTTAATCATGTTTTACTTCAAAGTGTACTTTTTTTTGCAAAATATAAAAAAAAAAACTTCTCGAGTATTAAAAAATTAATTAAACAATTGAATCCTGACAAGAACTCCTTAAGAATTTTAATTTAATGAAGTGATATTTTATGAAAATTAATCTTTTTTTATTTTTGGTTTAAAAGTTTTGAACTGAGAAGTTATAACAAAAAAAATTTTTAAATTATTTAGCGGAATATATAAGTCTAATCGATTTAGTGATATTTTTCTAAAGATATATTTATGGATCCTTAATAAAGTTATAAAGCTAATTCAAAACTTTTCGAAAGCATATCTGTTTGAATAATACAAAATTATTATCCTGAAGATATCTGGGGTTTTGAGGAAATTGATTTCAATAAAGAAAAAACAGCAGACATAGCTAAATGTATTCGAAATATGCGGGAAAAATCGTGGGTTTTTCGGAATTTTGCTCACATCTTCCTATTTTAAAGACCGATTTTATTAATTTTTATTGGCAAACTTCTCGAAAGCATATCTGATAAATTTAGTCAGATATCTTAAGTTTTCAAAGATATCTGGGAGTTTCAGGAACTTGATTTCAATAGACAGACGAACGAGCTAAATGAACTACTCTATCTAAAAGGATAAAATATACTTTTAAAATTCTGGAACAATCTAGTGATTTTCGGAATTTTGCACATATCTTCTTTATTTACTGATTCTAAATAACAAACTTCTTGAAAGCATATCCGATAGAATTATTCAAGATTTGGTTCCAAAAGATATCTGGGGTTTTGAGAAACTTGGATGGACATAGATAAAGGGCCTCAACTTCTAAAAGGATTTAGGACTTGAGCTAATTTTGCATAAAATTTCCTAAATTTTCTGAAATCTTAGATTCTAAATTATAATTTCAAATCAAAATATGAAGAAACTATAATAAAATTATAAAAAATTGGAATTATTTTGAAAGCATTTCAATTTTTTTTGCTAAAAGAATTTAAATGTTAAATTTTTATGAAAATACATAAAAATGGCGGCTAATTAGTTATGATGATTTTAAGACAGTGCTGCCAAGTCTAAGATTTCAAATACAACACAACACTTCCTTTTCCTCCCACTCTCTCTCTCTCTATCTCTTTCTATATCTTTAAAATGGTGGCTTATTCATTATGTTGGTTTTAAAACAGTGCTGCCAACTTAAAGCTTTGGAATTCACCATAAAAACTTACACAAACAAAGAAATCATTATAATTATAAAATTTTCGTTTAAAAAACAGTGAACTATTAAAAAACCATTAATTTTCTTGTTTTATAAATTAATTTATTAACATTTTAAAGAATTCTCTTTATTAATCAACATGTTTCTCTAATTTCTTTACAGTTTCTAAACAGCTGGTAATGCAGTAAAATCCTTCAAGAGATAAACAATTTCACCACAAATAAAACAATATAACTAAAATCTGTACAAACAGTGTCTAACAAAAAAATCTATGATTTTACATAGACAAAGGACAAAAGAGAAATTTTTAATGTTACCCAAAAGATAGTGAAAAAAGAAAAACGTCTATAATAAAAAAACAACAACAAGAGAATCAATTAAACTATTAATTAAAGAACAAAATTTTAATTTAACTAACAAAAAAACACTCGAAAATACTCAAATAATTAAAAAATATTAAGAAAAAAACTAAACAAATAACAAAAAATGGCCAAATATTTAATTACCTTCGTATTATTAGCCTTTTTGGCTTTGGAAAACAATCACATCTACAATCGTTTACATGCCAAATCTCATCCCAGTGTTAGCAACACCAATACAGTGACACATTTTATGCGTCAACATCAGTACCGCCATCAGACGGCCAATGTACATCATAAACTTAATCCCACCCATGAACAGCATCAGACGCATCATGCCCGCAAACATATAAAACAATATAAGAAACAGAATTTCGATAATGGTCAGGAAGAAGATGAAACGGTACAGGATTCGAGGCGACAAATGGAACGTATTAAACGTCATATGGAACAACAGCGCCAGCATCGTTTAGAACACAACAAACGTTTGCAACAGCGTTCGCAGAGACCCGTCTACAGTGCTGAGACTTTAAAGACCATGCCACGTATTTGGCAACATTTATCTATGGTTTATGACTATGATTATGCCGATGATAAGGATCGTATGTATGGTGATGGTCCTATGGATGGTGAGCCCGAGGAGGAGGATATAGTTTTGGAGACTGATGAAAGTAATATTAAAGTAGAAATACCATTAACAGTAGCCGAAGCTGAGGAGGAAGATTCAGCTAGTAAACAAGAGGAAACAGAGAATCAAAAACACAAAAATACCGCTGCGGCGCGTTGTCCTAAATGTGAGAGTAGCCGTAAGGTGGAACATGTTACCGAGGAAGAACTCACCCGTTTGCGTATTGAGTTTGTTAAGCAGCAAATTTTAGAGAAATTAAGACTCAAAGAACGTCCCAATGTTTCGGCCGTCGGTTTGCCTAAACCTTTATATGAGGGTGTAACCATTGAGCAGGAAGAGGATGCCACAGTTAATAAGGATTTAGATGATTACTATGCGAGAACGAGTAAAAAGTTTATCTTTTTAGAAGTTGGTAAGTTTTATAGGGATTTTTTTTTCGTTTTGTCCGCTTATGTTTAAGTTTAGGTCAAAAGTCGTTAACTTGATTTTGAAACAAATTTAGTAAATCCATTTGGCTTACATTTGTCATTCATCAGCCGCCTTTTACATTGTCTTGTATCTCTGCAGTGCAGAGTCTGTACACAGACAAAAACTACTGTATTACCTATCCACAAACAAATAAAACTTTATTACCAACCATTAAAAAAATATATGTAAACTGTATTACCCAATTACAACATCATTATTACGTTGTTGTTATTTTTATACTTTTATAAATACAACTTTATTACCAACAATCAAACAAATATATGTAAACTGTATTACCCATACAACTGCATTATCCCGTTGTTGTTTTTATGCTTTTATTTATGATATGTTAAAGAAATTTTCATAGGTGGTCTCAGATTTTTGCTCATATCTGAGATATTTATGAACCGATTTTGCTGATTTTCAATAGGAAACATCTCGAAAGCATGTCTGACAGAATTATTGAAGATTTGGATCCTAAATATATCTGAGACCTTCAAAAAAATGATTTCAACAGATATACAGACTGACAGTTAGGGTGCCATAGCTTAATCGACTTCGTTATCTATCCAGGATCTAGAGTATATATTTTATGTTATATTGAAGAAATTACAAACGGAATGACAAACTTATATATACCCTTCTCACGAGGATGAAGGATATAAAATGATTTCTTTATTGTTTTTGAAACAGTTTTTTTCTTGTAATTTATAAATTTATAACTTTTCTTCTTTTTTTGTAAATTTCAGAAAAGCATGAATGTCGCAAATTAGGTTCTCAACCCTCGATGTGTTTCTCGTTCAAAATCGATGATGCCGATGCTGATGGCTATGATGTTAGCACAGCTGTTTTGTGGCTGTTCAAAAATAATCCTCAAAAGATGGTCAAACGCAATGATACCCTATTAACGCAACAGACCATTGTAGTGTCCGAAGTACAACAGCAATTAGACTCGAAATATTTACCCATAGTTAAGACAATTGCCATACAATCCGTTGATGTTCAAGGTAAGTTTTGGAAATTGTTGAGAGTTTTCTTAAAATTTAACCCTTTAATGAACTATGAGGTCAAACTGATAATAATTTTTAAAATTTTGCAACATTTTGTGTTGAACAAAAACACAGCTTTTGTAATTATTTATTAATTATTGGCTTTAAATACAAATTTATTATCTTTTTACTACTCACAAATCGTCACGTCGTTATCAGCATTTCTAAATCTTAATAATTTTAATGAGTATTTTAAAGAACTTTAAGCGGGCTTTCTGACTAATTACGCCCATAGCCGGCTAATCACTAATCCGGCATATATTTTTCTAATTAAAAATATGTTGCCAGCTGTGTTTTTCACAAGAAAGCCTTTAATAATTTTCATATTTTAAAGTTTTTGTTTTGCAGTGGAAAAAAACATTGTGCCCCATGTACCCTTTTGGGAAATAATCTTTCTTTTCTTTGGCATATTTTTTCGTCTTAATTAACAATAATTCAAACTACTTTATCTGTTCTTCTTTCTTTTTAATTGTTTAAAAGCGGGGTATTGAAATAAATGATACCTTGCGAAATAAATCAAAATATTTAGAAAGATTTTTTTATATTGAAATTTCTACATACATACTCATACATATCCGGGCAATATCACTGTTTTGAAATTGGACTTTCACCGTTTAGAGAGAGTGAGAGAGCGAGAGGGAGAGCTAAAATTGATTGACCTTTTTATGACAGTGCAAATTTAAAAGTCATAAATAAATTTTTAATATAAATTAACAAATACATTCTCAAAAGAAAAAGAAATTTTTAAAACGTTTTTTTTTGATAAATGTGTAGTTGACAACCCACCATGATCGTAAATCAAAATCATATTATGTTCAAAATTCTTTATACATCAAGTGAAAGATTGTATTTGTAGGAGTTTATAATCAGAATTTTGGAGCGTGTTTTTAAAAAGGCCATCTAGAAAATAATAATAATAATAAACAAAAACAGTTTTGTTTATAATTAAAAAAACGCACAAATATTATTTTAAATCGTGAGTTTGTTTGTATTATTTTCGAAAATGTCAAAAATATTCCCCTATAAATTAAAACCATATTAAATGAAAACAAACATAGTATTTCATCAGCCTTAAGATTATAATTAAAATAAAGCTGAAAAGCTAAGATTTTTGAAACCCCTTTTAAATATAATGACACTAAATCTATAGCCCGTTTAGACTTATAAAACTAATTTCTCTAATTTCCTTTACAGATGAATGGATGAAAATCGATATAGAATGGCCGATAAAACGTTGGTTTGGCAATCATGATCTTAGTCATCTCATACAAATCACCTGCCAGTCATGTGACATAGAATCGATGGAACATATGATATCCACCGATAAAGATTACAGACCCTTTATAATGGTCGATACACAAAATCGTAAGAGACAACCGCGTCAGAAACGTGAAATCAATTGTACGGATGGTGTCACCGAATGTTGTCGTGAACATTTGTATATATCTTTTGATGATATCGGCTGGGGTGATTGGATTATACAGCCCCGTGGCTATAATGCTTATTTCTGTCGTGGCACCTGTGGCATGGTGGCGAGTATTTCAGAGTCTTTATCGGCTCATAATACCATATTACAGGTAGGTTTCTCTTGTTATCCCCTAAAACAATAAAACAGTTTTATAACTTTCTCTCTCTCTCTCTTTTAGAAATTTCTTAATAAACCCGGTAAACGGCGTAAGAATCTAGAGTTAGTACCCTGCTGTACTGCCAAACAATATTCTTCCCTGCAGTTAGTATTTATGGATAGTAATAATACAGCCACACAGAAAACATTCCCCAATATGGTGGTAGAATCCTGTGGCTGTAGATAGTTTCTATTTGTTATTGACTTTAAACTTTTAAATTTAAAATATTTATTAATTAAATTAATTCATTCACTTTCACAAACCAAAAATGAACAACTTTCAAATCATAAAATTCATCATTCATTCCCTTACCCCCCTCAAAGACCCTCCTCATTTAACCAAAAAACAAGTACCGAACAAAAATATAATTTAATAATTATTTATAAAATAGTTTTAAAACTAAATTAATTAAAACGCCTAAAGTTTGTTGAAACACTACAAATTTCACTTAAATGGAAATGTTGTTAAGGTACGTTCACATTGTTAAATTATTATTAAATTAAATTAAATTAAATCCAAAACTTTTATAAATTTTATAAAAATTTTTACTTTTTTTCTTAAAAATAACTAATTTGTTAAATGTGAACTTATCTTAAAGTGCTTTAACCAAATAGGGCATTATTTATATATTAAATACTGCCATAGGTTTAAAATAAGATTTTTACTAGTTTTTAATTATTTAAATAATTTATAATTTATTTGTATTGTACTTAAGTTCTCCATGAGAAATTAGATTTTCGTTTTTTTTTTTTTTTTGTATTTGTGTTTATTGTTGACTAGTGTAATTTATTAAGGATATTCACCGTCTGTCAATTTAAAAACATTCTATAAACATTTAATATCTTAATCTTAATTTCCACGTCTATTGAATCTATATTAAATGTTTACAGTTGTAGTTTGTACTAAAATTATTTTGTCTAGTTTGTGAGTATCCTAAATTGTAAATATTTAATTTGTGTTTTTTTTTTAGTTAATTACTCGGTCACTTGACCTGCCTGAATATTTATCTGAAAACGTTGTAAAATATCGTATTAGTAGTAAAATTTCGTTAACCGTTTAAACTTTTTAGTCTCTTTTGCTTAAGTTTTTCTTATGATTATGATTTGTCGTTTATCATGATAAAAATTTATCAGTTCAAGACACCGAGTAAATGTGTCAGGTGATATTTTTTGTTTTTTTTTTTCTTTTTTGTAAATATTGTAAGTAGTAAAATTTTTTTGTAATATATTTCTTAATTTTTTTAAGAAATTTTAAAATTTTTTTAAAAAATATAAAAATCTGTATAAATTTTAAAAAAGTTGTGTTTTATTTTATTAAAAATTAAGGTAATAAATTGAGATGCGTCAACTTCTACTACAAACATTCGATTTATTTTAGATTCAATGGAACAAAATCAGGCTCATCAGATAAATATTTAACTTTTCTTGGGCGAGACTATAAAACGAATTCTAAAAATATGTTTTTGGGGATTTAAAAAATGTTACACGCGAAGTGGCTCTTCATGAATTCGAACGAGGGTAAATCGAATTAAAAACACCTTAGCCCAAAGTTATAGGTGCAGTCAGTTAGTTCGTTCGTTCGTTAGTTAGTTATTTAGTTAGTTAGTTAGTAGTTAGTTAGTTAGTTAGTTAGTTAGTTAGTTAGTTAGTTAGTTAGTTAGTTAGTTAGTTAGTTAGTTAGTTAGTTAGTTAGTTAGTTAGTTAGTTAGTTAGTTAGTTAGTTAGTTAGTTAGTTAGTTAGTTAGTTAGTTAGTTAGTTAGTTAGTTAGTTAGTTAGTTAGTTAGTTAGTTAGTTAGTTAGTTAGTTAGTTAGTTAGTTAGTTAGTTAGTTAGTTAGTTAGTTAGTTAGTTAGTTAGTTAGTTAGTTAGTTAGTTAGTTAGTTAGTTAGTTACTTAGTTAGTTAGTTAGTTAGTTCGTTCGTTAGATAGTAAGTTAGATAGTTAGTTAGTTAGTTAGTTAGTTAGTTCGATCGTTAGTTTTTAGTTAGTTAGTTCGATCGTTAGTTTTTAGTTAGTTAGTTAAATAGCTAGCTAGCTAGCTAGTTAGTTACAGAAAACATTCTGTAAAATTATCTTTAGAAGTTGTCTTTACAAAGTTAGCATAGAGCAGGAAGTTATTCTATTCTTTACTTCTTTATTCAAAGAAAAAAAAGTACACGTTTTTAAGTTAATGCCTTTATTTTATATCTTAACTTATTTATTTAAAAATAAATTATGTAGTATTCTGTTCATTATTCTTTTGCAATAAACTACGACGATTCTCTTGCATGCGTGTATTATCCCAATTGTGTACCATTTTGCGTTGTTTTAAACGTTCTTCAAGTTGAAATTGCAGGCGTTCCGGCCGAGTGTATAAAGTAAAATTGATCTCTGGCATACCGTTCAGTGAAAGTAAATAATTAATACGAGCACGTTCTTCGGCTATAGCATAAAGATCACTTATGGTCTCGGGATCATTAAGAAAATTTTCATATTTAGCATCTACTATATTTGCACTTGTTAATGGTTTGTTGGCAAGAATTTTCGGTGCAGTTCTAGGTGTTTTCAAGAGCGTACGCGAAGATGTTCCAGCACTAGAAGTACTTTTAGCTTGATATCGCTGGATGGGTGTTGTTGGTGTGGAATTTGGTGTTTCAACTTCATCGTCATCATCTTCGAGTGATATTGTAAGGAAATGCATATATGGGTCGTTCATTGCATGTAGAACACTTTTGCGTCGTCGACGCCTAGATTGAGCTTGTTGATTATCGTCCTGTTCCATGCTGCTGACTGTTGACGAGGTGATTGATGTTGATGGTGTATCTATGGAGGCGTGATTATCATCGTCTGAATCGATTATTTCAATAACTTTACTCATTTTTTCTTCTTTTGTTTATGTTTTGATTATTTCTTGCACTAAATTACAGAATTTTTTTTTTGTTTTGTTTACAATGAAAAATAAACAGCTGTTTAAAGTGTTGTTAATTTAGCGTTTTCTTTCGTTAGTTATAATATTTAATTTAATAAATGTGAAATAGATAGAAATATTGTATAGAATTTTGAGTAAAAATTTGATTAATAATCATTTTTTAAGAAATTTAAAAAGTCCACTGGTATTTTAATGTAGTGTTTTTAATCATAATTGAGAATTCGAAATTATGTTGATAAATTACTAAGCGTTCTTATAAAAAGCAATAGTTAGCATTATTGTATAGCGGCTAACGGTATACCATTCACAATAGTGTTTGTTTATTTTGATTATTTGTAAAACTGCTTTATCGACCCTATTTAGAAGCTTCAATTTTGAATTTTTTCTTAGATATTCTTAGAACTCCCATTAAAATGATTTACATTTTGTGCAAAATTCTTCTAATTCATAATATTTTCTATTTAAATTAAATTAATATTAAAATTTATACCATGGGGGCTCAACAAGCAAAATCCGGCGATGAACAAGAAACAAATGTACGCACTTTACAAAAACAATACACTGGACTTGCAAGAGAACCAACAAATGGATTAGATCGCATGAATGAAAATCGTAAAGAAACAGTTATGTCTGAACAAAACCTCATTTCAGCATCCAGTCCTAAACGTATTACAGTGGCTAATTTTGCTAAAATTAAATTAGAACCGCGACCGGTGGATGAATATTCTAGGGAGGAAGCAGCGTTGGAAGAGGAAACAAGCGAGCTGGTAGTTGAAGAAACTATTGACCATCAGGAGCAAAATAAAAGCCAACAGGAATTGGAGGATCAGCAAAATCAATTAATTTATACAGAAAATCAAAATATAGGTTTAGGTCAAGCACAGGAAGATTCTTTGCCTGTAGTAAATAATATTTCACCTTTAACTATTGGGGAAAACAGTATTATATTGGATACATTGCCCAGTACTGAACTGAGTTGCGATATTACAAATATCCAAGTAAAAAAGGAACTGTTAGAAACATGTGGAGTAACAAGTGAATCAGAAAATGTAAAGGATCCTTTGGAAATACCGCAAAGCAGTACAATTTCAGTGTTAAGTGATGAAGAAGAACTTGATAATAGCAATAGAATTTATAGTGCAATAAAAAGTGAAACCATTGATAATGATATTGAACCTGATAAGAATTTGGAAGAAGAAAATAAAGATCTGTTACTTAAAAAAGAAAATTCCGATGGTAATAGCGAAGAGGATATTGATCAACAACTAAAAGAAGCTCCTAAATTAGTTAGAAATCCATTTTTTAAAATCTGCAATAAAAAGCAACAACTTAAAAAGGAGTTTATTGATGAGGTAACTAGGGTAAGTAAGACGGCTTATTATTATGTTATACTGTGGAAATCTTTCAAAAGCTTTTATATTTCCGATTTAATTAACATTTAATTAAACTCCAAATATTACAATTTTAGGAAGTTTCTACAAATAAAGCGATAAAAACTGAACATAAATCAATCAATGAAGAGTTGAATAAGACAACTACAACAAAATCACCAACATCACCGGAAAATTTATCGAATGCTATAACCGTAATACACGAGGAAACTTTACAAACATCGGTATAAAAATTTGAACTTAATTCCTATTAAATTTTAACATAAATTATTTTCCACAGATCAATCTTAAAGAACTAATTATTAAATCAGAAACCTTAGCCGCGCCTGATGATATTTTGGTAAGTTGTGAATATAAAAACAAGATGAAGTATTTGCAATTAACTTTTACTCTTAGGATTTTACAACAAACAACAATTTAAATATCAATTGTTTAAGTTGTAATTTAAATTCATCATTGGATGTTAACTTAAGCAATGTAGAAACCGATTTCGAAGAAGCCCGGTCATCACAATCCATTGAAGAAGTTAAATCGACTCTTTCTCAAAATTCTTCTCTAGATTCTTTGAAATATTTTACCATAATTGATCTGACAAGTGGGGAAAAGAGTGATTTGCCAATTGAGGATTCATCGACTATAACATCAACCCCGAAAAAACAAGAAAAACCCAAAGCTATCAGAGGAAGACCGCGTAAACCTGGAAGCTTGGAAAATTACAAATTTGGGAAGATACTGAAACCAAAAAACCGTGGAGGAAAGGTGAGTCTTATCATATTTTGAATATTCTTAACACAATGAAGCAATTTCTCAAAAATGTTCATCTGTGCTTTTACAGCCACGTAGCAAAACTCTAAAATCCAAAAAAATTTCTCCAAGAGATACTACATTTATAGCATCAAAGAAACAAATTTTAAAAAATCTTCCGAAAATTTCTATAAAAACTCGCAAAAAAGTTAACAAACAAAATAGCGAAAAGAAAACTACAAAAACTTCTGACGATTTTCCCAAACCGTTGAAATCAGAGCCACATTCATTAAATAAAGAGCAGAGCATAGCAACGGAGCTGCCCAAACCCATGATGTTTAAAAGTGAGAAAAATATAAACATAAATAATGACAAATCCTATCTTAAACCGGAATTTCAACCTTATGTACGTTTGAAACGTCTGAAAAGTGAAGATCTCTTGGTACCGCTAAAGACAAAACCTGCTAGAAAAACACGCAAACGTTTAAGTTATCATCAAATGTCCAATGACAATAGACGTGATTTTCTTATACAACATGCCTTTAGCCTAAATCAACGTGCTAAATTAAATCGTTTAAGTATTGATCATGATCATTTGTATTATAATAATCAACAAGATCAACCTTCATTGTATAGCCGTTTAACTACTCCTCTCAGCATGCATATGGATACAGCAAATGATTCTATTGCTGAAACGGATTCCAAATATTTTAGTCCTCAAGAACTTTACTCACTTTTTCACTCCTCTACGCCAGATGCCTCTTCAATGTTTAGTGGTCATATAGATAGTGGTGTCTCCACTTCAACGCCTAGTATGCAACAACGCCAAACGGACTACAATAAAACTTTACTCTTAGAGATTGCTGCTGAGCGGGCCTTTATCAACAATCACTTAATACATTTTGGCTACTCACCCATACAGTTCGATTTGTTTAATAACTTAAACGATTTGAGTATTTTTCTTAAATATTTATTTGGGTCTGCAAATATGAATTGATGGTATTTATGTTGAAATTATGATTTTTATGTTTGGGAATTAATATTGTTTTGTTATTTTATGGATATTATTTTTAATTTTATTATTTTAAACTTGACTTGCAATTTTTCCTTTTATAAGAAATGCTTGATTTGTATTTTATTAAAAACGAATTATTTTAAATGTATTTTTTTTTTACAAAATCAATTTGACTTTAATACTTTCGAATAAATTGTATGTTGACCATAATACGTTTGTTTATTAAATGAAAAATCTGAATCGAAAGTTAACTATAAAACTAATGGAAAGTTTTGAAATAGATGTATAGCTGAAAAATGAATCAACAGGAATAAAGCAAAATAGATAGATAGATAGATAGATAGATAGATAGATAGATAGATAGATAGATAGATAGATAGATAGATAGATAGATAAATAGATAGATAGATAGATAGATAGATAGATAGATAGATAGATAGATAGATAGATAGATAGATAGATAAAAAGATAAAAAGATAGAAAGATAGAAAGATAGAAAGATAGATATATAGATAGATAGATAGATAGATAGATAGATAGATAGATAGATAGATAGATAGATAGATAGATAGATAGATAAAAAGATAGAAAGATAGATAGATATATAGATAGATAGATAGATCGATAGAACGATAGATAGATATATATAGATAGATAAATAGATAGATAAATAGATAGATAGATAGATAGATAGATGATAGATAGATAGATAGATAGATAGATAGATAGATAGATAGATATATAGATACATTGATAGATAGATAGATAGATAGATAGATAGATAGATAGATAGATAGATAGATAGATAGATAGATATATAGATAGATAGATAGATAGATAGATAGATAGATAGATAGATAGATAGATAGATAGATAGATAGATAGATAGATAGATAGATAGATAGATAGATAGATAGATAGATAGATAGATAGATAGATAGATAGATAGATAGATAGATAGATAGATAGATGGATAGATAGATAGATAGATAGATAGATAGATAGATAGATAGATAGATAGATAGATAGATAGATAGATAGATAGATAGATAGATAGATGGATAGATAGATAGATAGATAGATAGATAGATAGATAGATAGATAGATAGATAGATAGATAGATAGATAGATAGATAGATAGATAGATAAGATAGATAGATAGATAGATAGATAGATAGATAGATAGATAGATAGATAGATAGATAGATAGATAGATAGATAGATAGATAGATAGATAGATAGATAGATAGATAGATAGATAGATAGATAGATCGATCGATAGAAGAAATATAGGATTGAAGGAATCTGTACCAATAAACAATGCTATGCTTGTGTTGTTGTTTAATTCCTTTTAAAGATCTTAATGTGGTGGCATCGTCGGCGACTGCTTATAAAATTTTGAGAGATTTGGATATAAAGTAGCAATAAAGATGTTCAGTGTCGCAGTTTCTATGATCAATTTGCTGAACTTTTTAATATTAACCTTTATGAAGACAGGAAATAACTAAAAAGATTCAACAAATCTTGATAAGTCAAATATTTAGCAACTTCTTCAAATTGTATTAGAGTATTATTCTCATCGAAATATACTTACGAAATGACTCTATCCAGAACTTTTTCAGTGTCCAAAGTGGTAAAACCTTAATCATTCTATTATGGCTGTAAATGACAAAGGATCTAGACCCAGTTTTCAGATTAACGAAATTAATTAATCTTTAACCCCCATATTTATAAATGCTTAATAAAGTTGTTGATGGTTTATTGTAGGAATTTTGTATGGAAAATGTGCGTAATGAATATCTTTATGAATAAGTTTAAATCTGGCTTTTATTCGTTTAAAAGAATTGATACAAATTTCCCGCTAAAAGTTATTCAAGGTTATAGAAATCTGATCACAATTTGTGAAAAAGTTTTTTCTACAAAGGGGGTGGTTGTAGCAGCTAGTGCGCATGCTTCTTAATAACATATGTCCATCCATATTTATTTGTATATAATATAGATACCACAATAATAATAATGAAAAATAGTCCTTACATAAAAAATAAAGGACATGAAGTGAAACTGAAATTAATTTATAAATAAAAAAGGAATTAATAAGAAGTAAATAAAATGGATATCTCATTAAATTCCTTATATAAACTCGAAATAGATGTAAATAAATACATACAAGAGCAGTGAGTATAAAAAATCGAAATAAATAAATTTGAATATTAATATCATTTCTTTTAGATTTTCCAATGGCGAAACAATACTACGTAACATAAATCATTATCTTGATCCCGTATTCATACTAAATATTTGGATACCACTAGTGGGAGCATTTAATCATAAATTACTAGTACAACTGGTGGCATCAATAGGTGTCATAAATACCCTGGCGACGGTAATAAAATGGTAAGTGACTACATTACTAAATAACAAAAATGTTTTAATTTTTCCTACATTTCAGGTGCTTACCCGAATACCGTCCTATTTGGTTTATTAGTGAAAATTTAAAAAGCTCTAAATATGATTTTAATGACATAACAATTGATCCATTTAGCTGTGACACCAGTGCCGGCTTTCCCTCTACACATGCTGTTGCCTTTACCACATTTGTTTTCATTGTAGTTTGGCGTTTTGTTACAAGTTTTCTATCTTCATATGAATTTGTTGTCTATGACAAATATTTGTTAATTTATGCTATTGCATCTTCCATATCGACTGTCATGTGGTTTAGTCGTTTATATTTTCTCTATGAATTTTTACATCAATGTATAGTGGGTTCATTATTTGCTGTTCTTATGATTCATATACTAAGGAGATATTCTTTGTCATTGTTGAGTTTTGGTAAAGTGAAGGCAATGTTGTTGGTAATTGTTTTGGGCTGTATACCGATAAGTGCTTATTTTGGAATGCTACATTGGGATGTGGATCCATTTTGGTGTGTTCGAACGGTGAGTGAAATAATATAATTACCTCATTAAGTTTTAGTTTTTAGAGAAAACTCTGTCTTTCTATCAATCAATCAATCAATCAATCAATCAATCAATCAATCAATCAATCAATCAATCAATCAATCAATCAATCAATCAATCAATCAATCAATCAATCAATCAATCAATCAATCAATCAATCAATCAATCAATCAATCAATCAATCAATCAATCAATCAATCAATCAATCAATCAATCAATCAATCAATCAATCAATCAATCATCAATCTATCTATCTATCTATCTATCTATCTATCTATCTATCTATCTATCTATCTATCTATCTATCTATCTATCTATCTATTTGAGAAATTGTGTCAGGTTATAGTTTACTTCACCATGTCTACGATGTAACCAAGTTTTAATACATGGTATTAAACTGTAGATCCATCGACCTTTTGGGGAATTTTCCCATCTTCTTTGCCAGCTGTCCATCGTATGCTCCTTTTCGATTTCCCGAATATGGTCTCTAGGAGTTTTTTTCATTATTCGAAAGTCGCTTATATATATTTGCAAGTTCTTTGGCTGATATATCAATGGGGGCAATTCCCGCGACAACGCTTGCTGCTTCCATTGATATTGTTCTATACCCGCTACAAACTCTTAGGCAATTTCTTCGGATACTGAAAACATATGCTTTTCCTTGCAGTTTCTTAGCGCTCCCTCCCATATTGGAGCTCCATATAGGATCACCGAGTTTGTGACTCTCGAGATTAACAATCTCCCGACTCGTGGCGTGGTCACCGATGTTTGGCATAATTTGATCTATCTATCTATCTATCTATCTATCTATCTATCTATCTATCTATCTATCTATCTATCTATCTATCTATCTATCTATCATCTATCTATCTATCTATCTATCTATCTATCTATCTATCTATCTATCTATCTATCTATCTATCTATCTATCTATCTATCTATCTATCGTCTATCTATCTATCTATCTATCTATCTATCTTCTATCTATCTATCTATCTATCTATCTATGCGAGCGAGCGAGCGAGCGAGCGAGCGAGCGAGCGAGCGAGCGAACGAGCGAGCGAGAGAGCGAGCGAGCGAGCGAGCGAGCGAGCGAGCGAGCGAGCGAGCGAGCGAGCGAGAGCGAGCGAGCGAGCGAGCCAGCGAGCCAGCGAGCAGCGAGCCAGCGAGCGAGCGAGCGAGCGAGCGAGCGAGCGAGCGAGCGAGCGAGCGAGCGAGCGAGCGAGCGAGCAGCGAGCGAGCGAGCGAGCGAGCGAGCGAGCGAGCGAGCGAGCGAGCGAGCGAGCGAGCGAGCGAGCGAGCGAGCGAGCGAGCGAGCGAGAGCGAGCGAGAGCGAGCGAGCGAGCGAGCGAGCGCGAGCGAGCGAGCGAGCGAGCGAGCGAGCGAGCGAGCGAGCGAGCGAGCGAGCGAGCGAGCGAGCGAGCGAGCAGCGAGCGAGCGAGCGAGCGAGCGAGCGAGCGAGACGAGCGAGAGACGAGCGAGCGAGCGAGCGAGCGAGCAGCGAGAGACGAGCGACGAGCGAGCGATCGAGCGAGCGAGCTAGCGGCGAGCGATCTAGTATCTACTATCTATCTATCTAGCATCTACTAGCGATATCTATCTATCTATCTATCGATCTATCTATCATCTATATATCTATCTATCTATCTATCTATATATCTAACTATCTATCTATCGATGTATGGACTAATCTTTCTTGTTGTTCTGCTTATTACAGGCTTTTAAATGGTGCCCTGATCCCATGCAGTTAAAACATGAAAGTACTCCAGTATTCACACTCTGCCGTGATTTTGGTTATCTCTTAGGTATTGCCCTTTCAAGTCCTTTGGCTAAAAGGTAACTCGTTTTAAATTTACAACTAATTCTATACTTTTAAAACTATTTGCCTTATTTTAGCTATTACAACTCTAACCACAATTATCGTAAACGTCTTCCTGCTTTAATTTGTATGGAAATTTTTAATTACATTGTCCAATCATATACCCCCAAAGAATATGGACGTTTTGCATTTGTTGCTTATGAGTTTTTGAGAAATTGTTTTCATTCCTTTATGTTATTGACCATGTTGCCCAAGTTTTGATACTAAATAAAGTTAGGTATTTGAAACAGTTTTGAAAATATTGACTTAATTTTATTGAACATAAAAAAAAATAATAAATAAGTTATAGTACAGCATTTTTTGAAGTTATTTGTTTGCAAAAAAAAAACACTGATTATAACGAACAAAAAAAATAATAAAGAAAAACTAAAGACATAAAATAATAATTATTTAAAATAATAAAAATATTTAAATAAATACATACATGCGCTGTTAATAGGCAAACATTTTAGTTTAAATATTTTAAAAAATTTCTTTTAATATAAAATTTGACTAAAAAAATTTTATTTCTTTTCGTATTTCATTTAAATATTAGATACATTCACATTTCACAAGTTTTAATATACATACAATTAAATTTATTGTTTTTATAACACGCATTTTTAAGTACTTAAAGACTTGTTTTTTAATATAATTTATTTATTGTTAATATGTAATTTGTTTAAATGCCTGTTTGTTTAAACAGTGGGTATTTTCTAGAGATTTGTTTGTAATGAATTTTTATTTAATTTTAGAATTATTTTGTGTGAGAGTGTGACATTTTTAATATTTAACCGAAATTCTCAAAGTGATGTATAAAGTATGGTAGTTTTCTAGTCTTGTTGACCTCATCACAGGCAGACATAACACTCTTTGTTAAGGGTCGGGGACCACAAGAAAATACGCCAATTTTTGAGACCTATAATTAAATAAAAAATGGGTATTAATAAAACATATGTTTTTTTCTGCCGAAACTGTCAAAATTTTACAAAAAGTTTTCTTTTATTTATGCTTTTGAGAGTTAAAGAAGGCAACATTTCTGAGATCGAAATTTCAGTAGAATTTAAATGAATTAAACTGTAAATGTTGATCGCTATAGAATTGGTTAATTTGGCCCTTAAACTACTTACATAAGAATGTTTCTTTTGCACAAATTTCAAGAAACTGGACATATCTGGTCTTCCAAAATGATTAACAGCTTTGAGACCAGTAAATATCGAAGTTTTCGATAGACGTTGGAAGTGATTTTCACATATATACTGAAAAAGAAGAATATTGCAGATTAATAAAAGATTCATGTTTTAAAATTATTATATTCTCAGTCGAAAAGTTCAAAGAGAATTTTTCTACATAAAAACTCGATCCCAAAGAACTGTTCTACAGAAAAGCTCGTAACAGATACTCATCCACAATGAAATATTCTATAGATAACTTCTTTACAAAGAACTTTTCTTTAAAAACTACTTGACAAAGAATTTTTCATAAGAAAACTTCTTCACAAAGAACTTTTCTTTAGGAAACATCTTCATTCATAACTTTTCTACAGAAAACTTCTTTACAAAGAACTTTCCAATAGAAAACTTCTTTACAAAGAACTTTCCAATAGAAAACCTCTTCACAAAAGAACTTTCCTACAGAACTTTTCTAAAGAAAACATCTAAACAAAGAACTTTTCTACAGAAAACTTCTTGACAAAGAACTTTTCTAAAGAAAACATCTTCACAAAGACCTTTTCTGTAGAAAATTTCTTCACAAAGACCTTTTCTGTAGAAAGTTTTCTAAAGAAAACTTCTTCATAAAGAACTTTTCTATAGAAAACTTCTTCACAAAAAAACTTTTCTAAAGAAAACTTCTTTACAAAGAACTTTTCTAAAGAAAACTTCTTTACAAAGAACTTTTCTAAAGAAAACTGCTAAGAAGAACTTCTTAACAAAGAACTTTTCTATAGAAAACTTCTTAACAAAGAACTTCTTAACAAAGAACTTTTCTTTCCTCTTCACAAAAGAACTTTCCTAAAGAACTTTTCTATAGAAAACTTCTTCACAAAGAACTTTTCTATAAAAAAAATTTTCACATGAAAAATTGTTCTATAGAAAACTTCTTAACAAGGAAATTTTCTAAAGAAAACATCTTAACAAAGAAAATTTCTATAGAATACTTCTTAACAAAGAACTTTTCTAAAGAGAACTTCTTCACAAAGAACTTCTATAGAAAACTTCTTTACAAAGAACTTTTCTATAAAAAAAATGTTAGCACGAAAAATTGTTCTAAAGAAAACTTCTTAACAAAGAACTTTTCTAAAGAAAACTTCTTCACAAAAAACTTTTCTAAAGATAACTTCTTTACAAAGAACTTTTCTAAAGAAAACTGCTTTATAAAGAACTTTTCTAAGAAAAACTTCTTAATAAAGAACTTTTCTATAGAAAACTTCTTAACAAAGAACTTTTCTATAGAAAACATCTTCATTCATAACTTTTCTATAGAAAACCTCTTCACAAAAGAACTTTCCTAAAGAACTTTTCTATAAAAAAATTTTCACATGAAAAATTGTTCTAAAGTAAACTTCTTAACAAGGAAATTTTCTAAAGAAAACATCTTAACAAAGAAATTTTCTAAAGAAAACTTCTTAACAAAGAACTTTTTTATAGAAAACTTCTTCACGAAGAACGTTTCTATAGAAAACTTCTTTACAAAGAACTTTTGTATAAAAAAAAAAATATTCGCAAAAGGACATTTATAGAAGAAAACTTGTTCATAAACAACTTTTGTATAGAAAAATGCCCAATAAACTTTTCTACAGAAATCATTTCTATAGAAAACATCTTCAAAAAGTACTTTTCAAAAGGAACTTTTCTATAGAAACCTTTTTCACATAGAACTTTAATATTAAAACTTTCTTCACAAAGAGTTTTTTTTATAAAAAAAATGTTTCTTCCCAATTAACTCACCAACATTGTTGTTCTCAAATCAAATTTGTGGAAAAATTGTGTTATAAATATATGAATCTCCAATACATTCGTCACATCCTTCTTCTCAACATCACGCAAAACATCTATAAACCATTCGAAATGTTTGTGAGATGGACAAATCCACAAGAAGTACACTTTCTTGCAAGCAACTCCCGAATAACGATTAGTACTAGTGCCAAATACTAAATCATTTAAAATCGAAGCATAAGGAGTGACACCAATGCCACCACCCACCATAACAGCCACTTCAAATTTATACCAATCTTGATTGCCACCGCCAAAGGGGCCCTCTATACGGATTTTAGGCTGATCTTCGGGATTATAGTTGCAAGGATCAAAATAGTTACGCAATTTCCAAGTCCAGGGACCCTGAGCTTTAATGTGGCAGCTAAGGAAGTTTTCATGAGGAGCCGAGGTCAAAGTAAAACTATGCATTTCATGAGGTCTAAAGGCAGTGCAGGATAAACGCACCCATTGGCCCGATAGGTATTTTAGATTGGGTGGACGATAGAACTTAATTTTAATAACATCTGAAGGCAGTAGATCGGTTTCAATGACATCCAAAGCCATATATTTCGTACGCAAAGAAACGATTTTATCCAAAGTATAAATAATGCCAGGACCCAAAAAGAACATCCAAAAACGTGGAGGTCCTGTTAGGCGTGCCAGACCGTGTATAAGACTTAATATATAAAGGCCTATATAAAGAGTATGCATATTCCAGAAGAATTTATAGGCCTTTTTACGTATAGTAGGATGGGCAAATACAAATATAATGCACATTATGATAAACAGTAGAACACCAGTGGTACCTTTTAAAGTAAAATATTAAAATTTGTTTTGTGATCATCAATATTTATAAAGTAAAACCTACCTGTTACCGTTTGGAATAACCAGAATGTTATATCCGGCTTATAATCCGAGGCAAAGTGCACTTCTCTTGTCAAACATCGAAGATTTTCATGTGATTGTGTGGAGACATGATAGAAATTCACTATATGACCCACTGTATGCAGCACCGAAAAGAATAGGGCAGTACAGGCAGCAATTTTATGAAATTGTATATGAGAATCCAAGGGAATATATTGTTGTATGGGAAATTCTTTAAGTTTTGTTATAAGATTTCTGAAAAAAATGAAAATTGAATGAATGAAAGAACGATTTAAAGTGGATCTATGATTGGTTTTATACTATGATTCATTCAAACATATTTACCAGGGAAAAAGTTTGAAAATTTTTTAAAGAAATCTCAATCAGAAAGAGTTTTTCTATAGAAAACTCTTTCACTTATTCCTTAGAAAAGTCCTTCACAAAGAACTTTTCTATTGAAAGCTTTTTCACAAAGAAATTTTCCATCAAAAATTCTTCCATTAATAATCTATCTATAGACGACTCCCTCACAAAGAATTTTTCTATAGAAAATTCCTTCACAAAGAACTTTTCTTTAGAAAATTCCCTCATAAAGTTCTTTTCTATGGAAAACTAATTAACAAAGAACTTTTCTATAGAAAACTCTTTCACAAAGAACTTTTCTATAGAAAACTAGCGCACAAAGAACTTTTCTATAGAAAAATCCTTCAAAAGGAACTTTTCTTTAGAAAACTCTTTCCGAAAGAACTTTTATATAGAAAACTCCTTCATAAAGATCTTTTCTGTTGAAAACTCCATCAGAAAGCTCATTCACAAAGAACTTTTGAATAGAAAACTTATTCACAAAGAACTTTTCTATAGAAAACTCTTTCATAAAGAAATTTTCTATAGCAAACTCTTTCACAAAGCATTTTTCTATAGAAAACTCTTTCACAAAGAACTTTTCTATAGCAAACTCTTTCACAAAGAATTTTTCTATAGAAAACTTTTTCACAAAAAAGTTTTCAATAGAAAACATATTCACAAAGAACTTTTCTATAGAAAACCGTTTCAAAAAGAAGGTTTCTATAGAAAACTCTTTCATAAAGAACTTCTCTATAGAAAACTCATTCACAAAGAACATTTCTATAGAAAACTCTTTCACAAAGAAGTTTTCAATAGAAAACTTATTCACAAAGAACTTTTCTATAGAAAATTCTTTCATAATGAACTTTTCTATAGTAAACTCTTTCACAAAGCACTTTTCTATAGAAAACTCTTTCACAAAGAACTTTTTTATAGAAAACTCTCGCACAAAGAACTTTTCTATAGCAAACTCTTTCACAAATGAACTTGTCTATAGAAAAACCTTTTACAAAAAACTTTTCTATAGAAAACTCTTTCACAAAGAACTTTTCAAAAGAAAACTCTTTCACAAAGAACTCTTCTATAGAAAACACTCGCACAAAGAACTTTTCTATAGAAAACATTCGCACAAAGAACTTTTCGATAGAAAACTCTTTCAAAAAGAAAAATTCTATAGAAAACTCTTTCATAAAAATCTTTTCTATAGAAAACTCTTTCACAAAGAATTTTTCTATAGAAAACTCTTTCACAAAGAACTTTTCTATGGAAAACTCTTTCACAAAGAACTATTCTATAGAAAACTCCTTTGCAAAGAACTTTTCTATAGAAAACAAAGATCTGTTCTATAGAAATCTTCTTTACAAAGAACTTTTCTATAAGAAACTCGTTTACAAAGCACATTTCTGTAGAAAGTTTCTATTGTAAACTACATCGCAAAGATATTTTCTAATGAAAACTTCACACAGAAATCTTCTATAGAGAATTCCTTTACTTTTCTTTAAAAAAACTTTTTTTATAACGAACTTTACTATAGAAAATTTTTTTAAAACTGACTTTTCTATAGAGAATTTGTTCGTAAACTTACGATAACTGACCACGCTTAACGTAATAATTACCTCGACATAGTTAGTAATAGCAGTGAGTAGCAGAATGACAATGAAGCCGCAGATCCACGAGTGATGGCAATACCCACACCCATAATATGTCTCAAGTCCGTATGTTCAGCCATAAAGGAGTAATCTATAAAGAGTAATCTATAAATCTGTGACTAGAAAATCTTCTCCTCGAAACTTACGTATAAAACGTTCCACAAACAAAACAATCGTTATGACATAAAATAAGAACAGATAGAATATATTCTGACGATTCTCTTCCAAAAATGTTATATAACTATCCCATTTCTCTTGCATCCAGTGGCGGGGTCTCTCTTGCATGGGCTCAATATTAAATGAAGTCATACGTGCCACATTTGTTGAAGTATCCAGGAAATTCTGTTTAGCTCCTTTACAATCTAAACCAATGGCTACAAAATCTCCCTTATATTCTTTCATCATGAGTTTGAAATCTTGATAGGTGAGATGATTCTTGTGTTCCAAACCTACATCTTGGAACATGCCATCAATTAATTCGGTTACCTGATCATCACCCAAACTAGTGGTACGAGCAATTTCCACTAAAGAACGCATCATTTCACTTAGTTCACCCTTGTCAATGACACCATTACGATCATTGTCGCACATATCGAAAATGATACGAAGTTTGTCATCGGTTTTGCCGCGTGAGAAGAGAACAACTGTTTCCAAAAACTCTTGGAAACTAATGCGACCATCTTGATCTTTATCTACGATATTAAACATTTTGCGTACGAACATGTCGTTGGGTTTCATGCCCAGGGCAGCAGCAAATTCAGCTTTGGAAAGGGAAGTGCGCATGACCGTCATTACTTCGCCATCGGTAGAAGCATCAGATCTGCGGCGTCTTTCTCCCGGTCTTAGGCCAAATGTTAAGGCATATGCCTCACGGAAGAAATACTCCAAACGTTTCTGTCTTCTTTCACGAGTTTCAGCTCCGGCCAACATCATATCACGATTTACTTCTACCAAAGTCATTTCTTTTTTATGTAAAATTAAAAAGTCTTCTAGTTTTTTAACGAACTTTCGGCGTGCCCCATAAGATTCTAGCTCCAAGACCAAATCATGATCATTAGGTACTCTCAGGAGAATATAAGGCTTCTTTTTAATGTGATTATGGGCCGACTCTTCAACAGTTACCACATCTACAGTTTTCAAACTGAAAGTGCGTAACTTTTCACCCTTACGATCTACAGTATAGATGGCAGCCTCTGGTCCAAATTTTACCGTAACCAAACGTTTGTGATTGGCATGCAACCATTCTCGGGCCAACATTTTATCCACCGAACCTTTGTGTTGAGGTGCTCTCAAGGCTTCTTGGCGTATTTTCAATTTCCTTCTCTTGCTATTTTGTAGTTTGACCACACAATAACCGGCTCCAGCACATAGAATGGGCACGAAGCCCAAGAAGACACAAACATAGATAAACATTAACTCCGAACCGGAAAAGTAATCATAGCCCTCTAGATAAGTGCAAGGTTCCAATTCGGTAGCATTTAATTGCATAGGTTGAGGACAAGGATCACCCTCATGCCACATGAACACATCTTCCTGTATATCATTCTCATTTATATCGGTACTATTAACAATAATATCGTACATTCTTATTTTACGTATCTCTTCAATTTCCTCTTTCGTAAATATACCATTACGATCGTTTTCAAACCAAAAACGATCGGCATCTCTTAAACGTTGAAATTGTTCCTTAATAACGGCACTAAATAATTCGCCAGGTTGGCCATAGGATTCCAACATGCCACCCACATATACATCCACATCATCCAATTGGTTATCATAGGCTGAGATCAACATATTCAAAAGATCGGGTTGTTTAGCAAAGAGGTCAGGATTTATATCCGTCCAATTGTTGCGTCTTTTCAGACCGAAAGCCTCTCGAGCGCTATTGTAATCGGGTAGACCATTATCACGACCACGCATAATATTTAAGGCTCCCAAATCGCGTCGTGTAAATTCCATGGGTCCAAACAGTTTATCACGTACATCAGAACAAAGCACAGGATCTTCACGTTCGGATATTTGTGAAGAAAGGCCCATTAGAATTTCTTCGATAGTGGTATCGGTAAGAAAGTCCTAGAATTAAGAAATAAATAAATTACACATTTGGAAAAGAGTTGGAACAATCTGATGACCTACACTCGAATCCCACCAAGTCGAACACAAACGTATGGCCGGATAACCCATGGGTGTTTTCTTGTAATTACAACTAGCATCACGTCTATAAATACCCGGCGGTATCATGGTATGACCAAAACGGAAGGCAGCAGCTTGAAATATATGACCTATGCCAGGATGTATATCACGATTATAACCCTCATAGGGAGGAATTTCAGAACCCAAAAATGCCGGCAGATATTCATACATAATAACATTCTGCAAAGTGGCTATGACCATACGACGGGCACGTTGGAAAATATCCTCATCGGTCCAATCGGCATGGGCGCGCTTAATACGCTGAGCCAGGGTATTGTGCCAGCGTAAAAAGAGTATAGCAAAGGAGAGCATGGCCGGATTTTGATTAGTTCTGGGATCTCCTAATACTGAAATAATATTAACAAGAGGTTAATTATTAACTCCAAAAATAGAGCTTTCAATCGTATTACTTACAAAACAATCTTTCAGGACTTAACATCTTCATAACATTCGGCACTGGATTATTGAATAGCGGTACTCTCATAGTATTCTTAACCGGCATTTTGCCACTTTTATCCGTTAGCAAAGTGCCATTGTGAAACGAACGCATGGCATTTAACCAGGCCTCCGATGTACTATATATAAAACTACCATCTATCCAGGCAGTCATTTGATTAATTTGTTCCCTGGGAGCATTGGGACTCTGGCCCGTGCTGCGATCGTAGGCCGCACGATGAAACGGAATATATTTATCGCCACGACATTCTTTATCATACATTTCATCGCATTTATCGATTTCAATGCGATGCATTTCTATGGGGCAACCCGATTCGGAGGCCATAACAATCTCATTGGCTACAACTTGACCGAAAAAGGCCAATAGGGCAGTACGATTGAATTTTGAGCCGAGACCATCACGACCACCCATAAACAAACGACTCAATCGTCTGGTCGAGGGTCGATTTGAACCGGCCATAGCGTAAACGCCATCTGAATATGAAGGCGGTGCTTTGCGCACCAAATGACTATCTGAAAGTGTTAAAAGAACAATATGTCAGCTATTTCATAGAAAAGTTATTTAATAATTTCAATTTCATTAAATGCTAATATCAGTTTGATGTTTGTTTTGTATTTCTCAATAAATTGAATTAGATCACGATCATATTTCATCACGTTTAGGGTAAAATTTCTTAGTCACTATTTTAACATATTTAACACTGAACATCATATTTAATTTTGTTAAGAATAGTTTAAATCTAAATATTAAATAATAGTTTTTTTCTCTAAAATTCCTTAGGGGCTTAATTTATTAAAATTAAAATAAATTATTCCATGTTTAACACATATTTTTAGAAAAATCATGAGACAAGTGTTTTCATTATTATCATATTTTAAACATTTTTAATTTTAAACTTTAAACAGTATTTTTATCAACTAAAATAAACTTACCTACAGAACCCCAATCGGGATGCGCTAAATTATTATACCAGCCATCGTATCTTTGTTTTTCAATTTGACTATAAATTTTTTCTATAAATATAAGAAAAGAAATATACAAAATTAATTAATTAAGTCTTTATAACAATTTTTTTCTAATTAATTGTATAATTGGTTTCTTAAAAATATCAAATCATTGTTTTAATTACTAAAAGAATTGAAATAAAACTAAAATGAAAATTTTCCATAACAAATCGGAACATGTTAATCCAAATCATGCGGCAAGTATAATCTTTTTGTTCTGGATTGGGTAATTAAATTTAAGAAGCTTTGTCTTAACATATCGACTTAAACTTGACCATATCTGTCGGGTAATAAAAACTGAGGTTACACGGGAAGTCCACATTTTAAAGAGAACCCTCGGATTTCCTGAGTCGTCAACAGATATGTAAAGACGTAATCGGTAGATCGAATCTCGAATATATCAAATAACCCCAGGACTTTGTTCTTTCTCACATAGAACATACTATGTTAAATCCAGTATGGGTTCCGGTTCCTGTGTTACCAGATTAAGATTCGACCTCATGGCCGAGTATACATTTGATCATCACCAGTTTTTAGTCCCGGTAGACTAGAGATATGGGTAGCATCTTTTTTGGCTGAGGTTGCTATCACACTAAGATGAGGGTCTTTCATCAAGGTAATATGTCCCCCGAGGGCTTCTAGAGACTATCCAACATACATTAAATAATACAATGCTCAGTAAGCGTATTAAATAAAGCGATCAGGGGACTATTTTTTGACGATTTTAAAGTTGATTTGACGTTGTTTCGAAAAAAAAAACCCACCTATACCTTCACATAGGTAGTGAAGATATAGGTTTATTGCAGACAATGCAAAACTTGGAACCGTTATGCGAAACAATACATTACACCAGTGCGAATGAGGTGCAAAACTATCAAAAACCAAACAACAGTAATCGCTCAGACCGCCTTTAAGATAAAATGACGAGTACGCTCGACTTGTTATTCAACTCAGACATGAATTGCGACTCGACCCACAGACTGTGCTTTTGCAGTCCAAACTTCTCTTGTTTCTAATATGATTCGGAAGGTCCTGTCAATAAATAATCCGACTAATGGCTCAAAAAATGTATCTACTTTCCAAAATCCAAAACTATACTATCTAGCCGATGTAGTGCAAATTCAGGGATTTAATAACTTTTGGTCCGTATAATTAGTTTGTCTTGGTCGGAATCCAGTCTAGTATACAGTGTTGCCAACTCGTCCACGATCAAAAGCACCGTGAGTGGGTCAAATTAGATAAACATTTCCAAAATCGTGGGTAAAAAAGCACTATTTATAATTTTGAATAATTTTACAAATACAGTAGACGTTCAGTAGTACGAATGCTCTTTATTACAAATGTCCAATAATACGAGTCTTTGAAATATTGTTTTCAAGTGAGCGGACAGTTTATGGATAGCTTCAGGATGTAAAGAAAGAAGACCATCTTTAGAAGTGCTCCTTTTGAACCTTCCGAGGTCATTCCTTCACGTTCGAAAAGATGATCTTGTATTCAAGTATGTCCAGCCCTAATTTCAGTAAAACTCAAAATATTTTAAATTCGATTTATGTGAACTTTGAAATTCAAATGTTGATAAAACTTTGAGAGCTGTTAATGGAATTAAGACATATTGCAATAAAAGTTCCCTAGGTTTAGGTTAACAAAGGGAGACCATAAGGTCCATTGTGATTCCCTTCTTTGAGAGTAAAGATCCAAAGATATAGAAACCAAAACACTAGAAGCAAACACAGAAAGAGAACAGGTGCAGAGCAGAGATTAATGGAAACAGATCTATTCTTAAGGCGTTTCAGCTCAGAAAATTTACCAAACCAATAACCTAAAGATAGAAATGTGAAAGAAACTTAGTCTGCCTATTAAACACAGTCGATGAAATGGCTGATTCCCTTGATAAAACCTATTAGACGTCGAGACAGAATAAGAGCCACTTAATGATAGGATAGAGAGAAACAAACTTAGATGGTTTGGACAGGATGTCAGATGAACTCCTGCCGAAACGCGTTCTTAAAGCAGACCAGAAGGCCGAAGAACCCGAGGTAGAAGAAGAGTAAAATGGCAAGAAACAGTCAGCAAAAGCTTGTTAGAGCGTAATACCGATCCTCGATCAGCTAGAACAACAGCACAAAATAGAGTAGAATGGCTAAAAATTTTGAAAAAAAACCTCTACAGTGAAAGGTAAAAAAGGTCTGTAATAAGTAAGTTTAACTTTCGCCCATAACAACAGTTCACCTAGTGCAGTTTCCATGATGTCACTGATCGTGGATGGAAATTTACCTTTGACCATAGGCAATTTAGATACAAATAGCCTCCTGTGGTGTCGCCCTCGTAAAGCTTCTCCTAATGCAATGATCCCCTAGTTTCAAATTAATCACCCCTATCGCCAATAGAAGTGAAATTTTTGTTCAATTGAAATTTTCATTCCACTCGAAGGGATTTTATTGTGAAAAATTCATTCACAATAGTTGATTTTGTATGCAACAGCTGTTTAATGTTTACAAAATTCCATCAACAAATTTCACATACAGGGGAATTTTTTTCACGACAAAAAAGTTAGTGAACGAAAAAAGTGAAAAGGAAACATATTTCACGTGAAATTGGTAGGCTATAGGAGTGAATAATTCTGCTGCTGAGCATGCAGACTACCCACTCAATCTTTATATAATTGAAAGCTCCTTCAATATCCAAGAACGCGGCAAACCGTGCTCAACACAACATACCACCTTATGGAGAGCATTATAAACTACCTTGAGGTAGGCATGTTAACCGTCAGTAATGAGGTGAGTATCAATATTGTTCCTAAGAGGTAGATCTATCAGTCTCTAAAGTTTTGTATAACTTTAGATCTGATTCTGTTTTTGAAATCTTTTAAGTTTGAAATATTAAGTGACTCAAAGTTTGCCGCAGTTTTGACTTTATCTTTCATTAATATTATTTTGATACACAAACATTTAGATTGTACAAACTTCGACAACAAATTATCATTTGTCATTAAATGAATTTTTAATTGTAATACACATTTGGTGACAATTAAATTCATTAAAAGTAATGACTTTTAAAAAAATTAAATTCAAATAGAAAAAAAAAATAAATTAAAAATAAAATGTTGAAGAATTTCAACTCCATTAAAAAAGTATTGAATTTGTTTTCAATTTTAACTACAACATTGATCTACATACAAAAAAAAAAAACAAAAAGTAGAATCAAATTGATTTACTACATCTTGCTGAAGTGTTGCCAGTGTTCAGACTACTCTACAACAACAACAACATAGACTCATGGTTTGCCTTAAAAAATGTTAATTTTTCTTAGAATTTTTTTGATTTTTTTTTCAATTTTATTGTGGCAGTTTTGAAATTTATTCGATAGTATTTGGAAATTGTAGACTAGTTTGCTTTGCAAACTATAGATATGCATTTCAAAGTGGCATAAATAAAAGTTGCAATTTTTACTCAATAATAACGCAATAGTGATAAAACATTTTATGCGTTTTATTTTATTCGTTTTTTTTGTATTTTTTGTCCATGAATTAAGAGCAGACAAAAAGACACCTGTCATGTAAAAAAAAACTTAAAGTTATAGTTACATACTAAATATAAATAAATAAAATGTTATATCAGGTACAAAATTTTAGTTCAAGGATTATTTCAACAAAATCTTACTAATGCATACATCTGAACAAACATACATAACTCTAGCAGTTTTAAATCTGAGAAATCTAACATTTCATGCGTGGTAGGATCTAGTTTGCAACATTGTTACTTTCGAAATTAAATTTGCATGAGAAAACCAAAACAGACAAAATAAAAAACAACACTTTTGAATTATATGACAGACATGCTAAAGCTGCATTTACATAACTTAGATAAGTTACAATTAAAATCTAGTCCAGGTGGAACCTTAGTATACACACCCAAAAATAATATTGTATTTTAATTAAATATATTCACCCACATTTTGAAATGTGATTATTTCTTAAAACACTGTCATTTACATACATTTTTTTTCACATGCCAATTACTCACCTCAAATTATATGTACCTGTCAACAACATTTTCATACTACATGTCATTTGGTCATTGACATCTCTTTTAAACTTTAATGAAATAGTGTGAAAAACACTGTAGCCCACCTCCCATGAGATGTCACTTTGTTAATTTCATTTCGCTAATACCGATTTCTAAACAGTGCGGGTGGGAATAATATGACAGCTGGTATTTTCGAATGGGAGAGAGAATAGGATGTTATTGGCAGATCACCGATGAATCAATAATTTATTGATAACAAAATCCCTAATGAAAGTTTGGAAAATACGGAAAAACGGAGACCTGATAGAAAGTCGAATTAAGTCATAACCTTCCATATTGCTTAAATTTCTATATAAACATGTTGGTTTCAGGTCCATGTAAGCTGTATTTTGTTAATCCTTTGAAATTCATCGCCATTAGGTCAGATATCAGATATGACACCAAAACTATGGCAAATGCAGACCCCTACAAATGATGTAGATTTAGATATGGAAAAGTCCAATGTTTAATGTGGCGTATGACACTACAAGTGAAACTTTTAAGTTTGCAAATCGTTCGGATATCTGCATTAAACGGCTCATTATTATAAGACAAACCAATCAATGGGGTCTCGAAAGTAGTAACCCAATCCAATCAAAGTAATTTGAAACTGGTTCGCCTTTTGTGGTGGGTTCTTAGAGGACCTAGCTAAAACTATTACCAGTCGGGTCCTCAAACTGGAGTGTCAATTAACTCGCGGTCTGACTAGAACACCTATCTTAACTTATCTGGTAATACAAATGTTGCCTGTTTAAGCTCAATGTGAAGATGGATGCATGAGTGAATATGGTAATCCATTAATCTTTAATTTATAGGTGTTTTTCCCTTCTTTGTTCGGTTGTGTTTTAAAGTGTTTTAAAGGAAAGGAGTCTTGCAAATAAATGGATCCGTACTTTCGGCTATACCAAATATATCTTTAGATGCTGTTGCCAAAACAATACGCAG